CGCCTTATCAAATCGCTGCGGCATTGGGTTCTCTGGGGGTTACCCCCACCCCCAAAACGTTATTTTGTTATTATCACTGTACATTTTGTATGGTTTGTACAGTGAATCTGATTTTACTCGCTTTGCATTTGCAGGTTCAGGTCCCAGTTCTCTCGCCCCACTTGATGCCCATAAAGTACAGTTTTCTCTTTTAGTTTAGGAGAAGTTAACAATGGAAAGATCTTGTTTTGTGTTGATTTTCTTCAAGTTTATTGCTTTCTAGCGCCAACTTTTAGTTTGTTTCTTTCTGGTCAGGTCGTGGTGAAGAAGAAGGGGAGAGGGAAATGGCACCAAAGGTAATCTTTGTATGCAAAAATAATAATAACAATAATAACAACAATAATAATGATAATAAGATAGTCTTATTTTACTTTTAAACTTGTCAAGTTGTATCAATTTTCACTTTAAACTTTCAATTTTATCAAAATCAAATTATACCCTGAACTTTATATATTAAGTGTTGCAATGTTTATCTAAAATAATGGAACTTTATATATTAAGTGTTGCAATGTTTATCTAAAATAATGGAGTAAAAATATCTAAAAATTCACTAATTTAATGAAAATAAAGTATGTACCAAATTAAATTTGGCATCGAATCTTCAATAAATTTTTTAAATTTTACAAATTTCAACTAAAAAAAAATAGCTATGTTTTCGTCCGGATCTTATCAATATTTCAAATATATGTTTTATAATAATACTTTTCTCGATGATTCTTTAAACTAAAACTTAAAGGTAAATAAAAAAAATAAATAAATATCTAAAGACTTTAGGGTGAAAACTACAATACCTAAGTTGAAATTGAGAGATGATGTGATTAAGATAATAATTTACACATCTTACATGTTAAATGTAAAAATTAAAATTTTTTCCAACAAAGAAATTAAAGTAAAAAGAAAAAAAAAAGTTATATATGAAATATCAAGATTTTGATTAAAATACTAATTTGATCCCGTAGTTTCAGTCTTATTCATTTTGGTCTCCATATTTTAAAAGTATTCATTTTGGTTACTGTACTCTAAACTTTGGTTCAGTTTAGTCATTCTATTTTGAAAATATTCATTTTAATCCATATACTTTTAAAAAGTGATCATTTTAGTCTCTTTTTATAAAATTTTAACACATATTTTACGCATAACGACAACTCTTTAGTATAAAGTAATGTTTACATTTGAATAAATATATTGATTGTAGTGTCGTGTTTAAATTGTGATATAAAAAAGAGATTGATAATAAAATTAAATGACTAAAATTGTCACTTTTTAAAAGTAGAAGGGCCAAAATGTACATTTTGAGAATACGGGGACTAAAATGAACCAAAGTTTAAAATATAGGGACTAAAACAAACATTTTCAAAGTACGGAGACCGAAATGAACCAAGGCTGAAAGTACAGAGACCAAACTAGTATTTTAACGTAAGATTTTTTAATTTTCTCTAATTTATGGTAATAAAAATTTACCTCTCCGTTCGAAAATTCCTAGCTCAACTTCTACTTGGTAAGTATAATGGATTTGTATAACATAGTCTATCAGCCCAAACCGACCACCTTTGTTAAATTGGACGAGTTCTAACATTTTTTTAGATCAACAAAAAAGGGACAAACTTTAAAAGATCAAAGACAATTTTGAGTAAATAACCCATGTAGCCTAAAGCCAATTGTCGTTCGTGTTTAAATGCTAATGTAAATTAGTTAAACCCACAATTACACGAGGTTAAATACAAGCTTTAGATTAAAAATAATAAATGTAAAAATACCAATTTGCCACATTTATTACATTAAAACAAAGCATGTTTCTATGCGGCATAGAACATCCTCTAAAGTCCCACAGATATTAATATGTCACAATTGAAAGCATAGTGAACATAGTTCACACATAACCATGCATCACTATCTCTCAAGTCTACGAAACTCTAACTAATCATTTGTCTGCATACTCTCAAATGTCAAGCACGTCACGAAGGGTCGGGTTTTGTTATAAAAGCCATGGCTTATTTCGTAAAGTTATTTCATATTTTTCAAGAAGAAGACTATATTGAGTTATTTAACATATGATTGATTAATTGGAGCATATGATAAATGTTGCACATTATTGTAAAATAATACTTGATGCCACTTTATTGGAATGAGTCAAAATCAAGATATATAATAAAGTATCAAAGAGGATGTTTCTATTCCCCATCAACTAAAGTTAAAAAAAAAAAAGAATCATTCATCTAAAAGCCTATAAAACAATATTAAATTAATTAGACTTTATAAGAAAAGATATTAAATAAATTAGAGATTTAGGATCCAATCAAAACAAAGCATTTACATTTTATAGTAACTTCCAAAAAAAAAAATATTTGACTTCATGTGAGAAAGTCTCATTGTAAATAAAAATAAAGCTGTGTTGGGAATTCAGGTAATTAAAAGAAAGAGATAGGGGCAAAACGGGAATACTAGGATAAGGACAGCGAGAGGATCTGCCAGGATTGGGGCCCATGGCCCATCAAGAGCCTGATTGATTAACGCTCTCATCAGAGGAGAGAGAAAAGTAACCCTATTTATAATTTTATTGTTTTAAATTGAATCCTTTAATTTTATATTTATAATTTTTAAAAGTATTAATTGGATCTTATATTACCTTTCTTTTTTTCTTTTTTTTTTTTGTGTCTAGTCGCCAGTTTTACGAGGCAACCATTGATTCTATTATATTTGGTTGTCAAGAAAATTTATAGGATATTAAATCTAAGGTAGGTGACTACCATGACGATCCAATCAACTAAAAAAACACAACGTATAATTCTCATGTAAATAGAAAAGTATCATTTATTTATTTAACATAGTAGATGTATAAACTATTTGTAAAATTTGAATCAAAACTATTTATTAACTCTATTCAATATATTGTTTAAAAGAAATTTTGTTTACAATGGGATATGATAGTTAATTTGAACCCATCTCAATTTGTTAAAACATATATCTTCCGACCAAATGGTCGTTTGAATCTCCTGTTCATATATTATTGCATTCACAACAAAAAAATATTGTAGGTTAAATTATCAATTTTGTTCCTAAATTTTTCAACGGGTGTCTTATAGATAATTTTCAATGTTGTATTAGTGCATCTTTAAATTTTATAATTTTGTGTTAAATAAATTCTTAAAATGTCTGGGAAATTCTTAAAATATCTGGTCTTAGTTTCAAAAATTAAACTTTAAAAGTTCCTAAAATTATAAGATAAGAAAAGAGAAACCTTTTCAACTTACTTGTTTCTCAAAATTTAAAGATTTATTAAGTAAGACATTAAAAAGTTAATAATTTTATTAAGTATTTTTTAAATTTAAAGTTCCGACCAGTTTTAAAAGTCAAAGCTAAATTTATAACTAATAGCATAATTATAGTTAAATCATTAAAAATCCTTATACGAGAGAGAAAAGTCGTTCACTTTTATTTATTTTACTAGAAATAGGAAAAAGGAAAAAAAAGAGAGAAAATAAATTAACCTCGGGAAAGTCAGTTGTCCCGTCTACTCGTCTCTCTGAAGTTCTGACATAGTTACTGATTGATTTGGGCGGGTCCCACACACTTGTCCAAAAAGTCTGACACAGTACCTTGGACGGCAAATTTAACGCCGTTAACGTCGCTGTCGCTACAAATTAAAAAATAATAATAATAATTATTATTATTAAATATATATTTTTTTTTATAACTGTCGTTTACTGTTATTTGGGGTGGTGGGTTAGAGTGTTTGGATAACTAACTCGGGGCGGGCTTTTGTATTTAATTGGGTGTAATGACATGTCTCCTGGGTTATGGTGTGTTTCTTTTTGGGGTAACAGCCCGGTTATTTTATTAAAACTTACCTTTGGGCCCCACCTCCTTCCACCATATCTGCCAGCTCGCCTTTCTCCTAACACTTTTTTTTTCCCTTTTTCTTTAGTTTCAAAGACAATGGTACCCAAACTCGCGGGACTTTGTTTGGACACTTTGCAACTATAATATTATGTTCGAGTATTTATTTTGATCTTTATATTTAAGAAAAGTAACTATATTTTAATTTTTACTATTACAATTTTATTACGATGTTATCACTTTTCAAAGTACATAAATCAAAACGGACGTTTGAAAGTATAATAATTAAAATGAATTAAAATTGATATTTTGAAAATACATGAACCAAAATCGAGAGCACGGGAACTCAAATAGTATTCAAACCTTTTTCAGCACAACCAAGTTATTTTATTTAGTTATGTATTGCATTTTTTTTTTCATAATTTTGATTTTGGAAGTATACATTTGTTTTTACTTTAATATGATGTGATGGCTACGACAATTTGTACCAACTTTAATTATTATCCATTAACGAATTAAAAAAATATGGTGAGTTCGAATTTGTATCCTATATTATATATAAAAAAAATTGTCCACCAAAAATTACATTATGTGTTATAATAACACATGTAGGTTTAGTTTACATGTATATGCATTTTTTTTCCTTAATAATATATATGGATATATTTGACTCCACGTTTCGTGAAGATTGGTATCGGTGGAAATGGGATAATAATTTATAAACTTCATTGAAACTTACATGCCTTTAGGCATAGAGTTAAGTATAGTTTATTTAATTTGATGCTAAAATATATAATTGGTGTACATCATTTGGCTGTATTGCCTAAATTGCCTACTATATTTAAAGGAACAGATCAAATTTAATTTGAGATATGATTATAACGTCAATGTCATTCGACCATAATTTATTTAGATGTGTTGTGAAAGCGATGATTAGTAAATAAGTTTTCTATTTTGATTGTTAAGTACAGCCTAAAGTTTACTATATGAATGTCCACATAGTTGACTGAACTAAATGGTGCCCATAATTGATTTTTTTCTTTGTTGGTAACCCTATTCCCACTTTCTAATCAAAGTTAAACCTACTGCTCGAAAAAACTACAATATACTTTTTTCGTATCTCTTACAAGATAATTTGTTTGTTTTTCCCAAATTAATTAACATGACAACGTAAAAGTTAGATTTTTGAACCACCATTTGTTGGCGTAGTCATGACGCTAAATATCTGTCGACACGTCGATATATCCATCAACATTTTCATGTATCAATGAGTTTGACATCGACATAAGAGATAAATCGACATTTTCATCATATTACAAAAAAAAAATCGGCAAAATATGAAATATATCACCAAAATGTCACTAATATATGCATAATATCAATATTACTCATTTTTAACTTATTTATAAATAGAAAAATGTCTATCTGTTAATTTAAATATTTTTTACGATTTTTTAATTTCTCTAATTTTTTTTTACAAATATCTATCGTCGACATTATCGATATATTCTATGAAACTGAGATATGGACATTTAAATCTTTAGTTGTAATTAAGTACGTTTTAAAAAGGAGTAAATAAATCTTGAGACAAATGAATTCTGAATCCATGCCCACCAGTTACTTAAATATATAAACCGCCATTTGGCTTGTTAGCAAAACGACTAAAACAATGTAAACATAAACATGTGTATGCTGCATTGGTTTTTTTTAAACGAGCAAAAATCGTAAAACTATTCCTTTAATTATCAGAGTTGTTATAATCATACCCTCAAACTTTCAATTTGATCCATCACTTATCGAGTTGTACACTTAAGCCCTTAAATATTGAAAAAAATGTGCAAACCATTGCCAAACTACAATGATAGTTTCAATCAGATTCTTCAATTATTAAAATTGTTACAATTTAACAATATTTTTTTAAACTTCATAAAATCTAGAAGGTATAATACTAACCCGTAAAAATAATTGGTTTTAAAATCAATATTTAATTGTCCTCTCATTTTAAAAAGAAATGAAAAAGTGATGTAAATAAGTTGAGTTTAATTGTAACTCTCCAATAATCTCAAAGAATCAACATTTATAGTTCAGAGGTAGTTTTCGTAAGATCTTTAAGAATCTAATTGTAACAATCTTATAAGTCGTTAATCGATCAAATAAAAAATTAGAAGTTGTAATGATAACAACGGTGGTATAATTCATGATTCATGAATGATATTTTCAAATTTTAATTAAAATAACGATCCACAATCTTTCAATTTTTTTTTTTTTTAATTTGACAAAGCTAGAAATTGTCATTTTATATTAATCAACGAATTTTGAGTAGAAAGTACAATATTGAATGCAAACCTAAGAAATGTATTAAATCCTCACCTTCCATTCCATATAAAAAAATGGAAGCATTAAATCGTACGGCATAAAACAAATATGAATTTTATTTTGAAAAGGGAAAAAAAGTGTGATTGGTTGGTGATGGCAGCAGGAGCAGAGGGGGGTGATGATGGATGGACTGAAGATTGCACAGAGAAGTAAAGAGGAGAAGCCTATGCGGGACCCACCAATCACATGCAATGCAACGCCATGACGACGGTCACGTGCCCATTTAATTCTGTTCTTTTTTAAAAAAAGTGCCGTGGGTCCCGCTTCTGTTGCCATTCTCTAACAAATGCCTTTATTAAAATAAATATTTAAATAGCTTTTAGTTCATTTAGTTTTTGTTTCAAAAAAAGAAAAAAAAAAGTTAATTTAGGTTTGGTTTTAGAATTTTTTTTTTAATTTTAAAAAAGTGATAAGTTCTGTCTCTATTTATATAATTTTAATACTAATTTTATACCTAATAGAAATATTCTACTACAAATTATGATTATATTTTAAAGTCTAATAAATAAAATGTTGTACTAAAATTATGATTATTAAGGACAATGGATTTTTATAATGGAATGATATTATCCGTTTGAGTATAATTCTCACGACTTTACTTTTAATTTTACCAAAAAAATAAACCTTCTCCCAATGTAGGTATGTTCTCATCTTATATACCTATGATTTTTGTCCTTATTTAGCTAATGTGGAACTTTGATCACATACCCAACAGTCTTCTACTGAAACAAAGTATCACCGAGTCTCCCTTCAAATAATCAGTCATCCATCCAACTCTTATCCAAGCCAAATCTTCTTTCATAGAGTACTCTACTTGTCCGATAGAGCTCAACCACGAATTATACCATGACTATCATCTTTTCCAAACCTCGTCACTTTCTTCATTTTCGAGGATTCTACCAACACAGTTAAGTCAAAGGCATAATTCTGATACCACTTGTTAGGTATTCCAACTTACGGTAACAACACCCAAATGAAAATAAAAATGAAGGGAGCAATAATGTACCGTGTACAAGAATTAAAATTAAAATTAAAAAACAAAAAACAGAATAGTATTCGAACCTACAAATAATCAAACAAAAAAAAAAGCCAGTTTATATCAACTATAATATTCTCCTCTTGTCTTCATAACTATATCACTTTTGTTCCATAGTATAGGGATATTTTATTTTTCTTTAATGTACTTTTCAAAGTAACATGCTTTCAAGAGCATACAATATTAAATAAAGTAGGACACTCTAGTATGAATGACACTAACATATACCAAAAAGCAAGGTAAATCCAAAATTTGTCTTTAAAAGCCAAACAATTTTCATAAAGTCTCTATTTATCTTGTATTTATTTTGAGTTCGATTCTCTTCTACATATTTTTTTAAATTGAAAATTGCCTCATCTCTAAGAGAATCAAAATATTACAGATGAAGAAGTGCAATTGAATACAAAAAAATTTGTAAGACTCAACTTTTCTTATGTACATTTCCACATGTTATTCCTTTTATATTTAAATTCATTTTATTTTTTATGTGCAAAGTTAAAAACAATATTAATAATAAAATATTTGTACTTATTGATAAAATTTTTGCCTAAACTGGCAGATAATGAGGCATGGGGGCATTGGAATTGGAAGTAAAAGTATATTGTTTATTTAAATATTTTAGGAGTTTTCTTATCCCAAAGCTTCCACTCTGCCTCCGAAGATCCTTCTAAATAGTAAATAGTATGTGCACATCAGCAGATCAGATTTAACTTATCATTATCATCTACAGTACCCAAACAAAATATCTGAACATTAAATATAGAATTTAAATCATATTGAACTGGCTATCAATTTTCATAGTCTCTGTACTTTAAAAAATAATGATCTTAATCCTTCAATTTTAATAATTTTTCCACCTAAAATTAGATTATCCTAGCATTGATCTTAACCTATTTAGTTTAAATATAAGCTTGCATGATAATGCCTTAGCACATATACTTGAAGTCACGTTACTAATTTGTATAAATTAGAATAAAAATAAAGACCAACATAATTACGACCAAAATAGACCTTTTTAAAATTGGAACCAAAATTAAAGTTTAGGGGTCAAATAAAAATATGGACATTTTGAAAATTTAAAGGCCAATATAATTTAAACCTTGATATATAATTGGATATGAATTTAAAAAAGAAATAAGTAGCACAAATGGATTAGGACATCATGATTGAAAATATCTTTTAAAAGTAGGTTTCAAAAGAAAGCGAGTAATCATATATTCAAACCAAGCCTACAAAATCTCTCACCACACCCACTAACTCTCAACACCACCACCCATTCAAAAGGGCACATCCAATTATTTTAAATGTCAGAAATGCCCTGGAATTTACTTTCCTACAAATGTTTCTTAAAATTGTGAAAATTTGCTATAAATTTTCTCAATGAAAGAGGTTCTTAAAAACGTTTGCACAAGAATCAAGATGCTTTGTTCTTACATGTTAATGATGAGATCAGTAGATTGGCAACATCGATCACATGCAATGCAACTGTTCATATTCATGGGGTTTCAAATTTGAAGTAGTGCCAATACCCATATGCGAAAACCTAGGTCAGATAAAACAGAAAAAGCTCTGGAAAAGTGAGGAATGATACTTCGCATCTGCATAATGCATTTGCATATCAGAGAAAATTTCATGACAAAACAAGATAACCTTTCAACAGGGGATACTTCTTTTACCAATCAGGAAATCCCCCATTATATCCACTGGTTTTAATATCAGAAGTGGGAAGAATCATATCGTCCATTATGCCCAAGATGAAGGGAGAAAAAAAGAGTAATATAGGCAAGAGAATCTTTCAGATCACGTGAGTTTTTCTTTATTATCTGCCTTTTCAAATGTGGATTAGTTCAGAGATATGAGAAATTAAAGCACAGATTGAGTCATGAGGATACAGTTACCTGACCTATTTTGTTTGTTATTTCCCTGATGTCCAGTTGACTCTATAGTTTATTGAAATCTAGAGGCATCTTTGATTCCTTGGTACGCGATTCAGGTAGATTTTTGTGCTTCTTTGGGGCCATGGAATTGCAGAAGTAACGAGTTGGTGACGACGAATATTGAACTTAAAGCCATAAGCCCACCTGAGAAAGAGATACCATAAACTGTTCTTACTGTTGCGAACCATAATATAAACTAGATAACTTTGGATATGGAATGTGCATGAGTGAGAATAATGTATTGGTTTTGTTTCTATTCAGTCATTTGGGGAATTCTAAATTATAATTAAGTGGAGAGATTAGTATATATTTACCTGAAAGGGAAGGAGTCATTGCAAAGTCAAATCCTGGGAGCAGAACTCCAGCAGCAATTGGAATGGCAACGACATTGTAAGCAATTGCCCACGACAAATTCTGGTACACCTTACCCATTGTTGCCTGTGCTAGTTCCATTGCATCAACGACCTGCCAGGAGTAGTTGAGGCATGCAGCATGTTAAAAGATATGGAGAAAATATTTGCGATTCATCTTTCTTGTTCTGTAGGGTTGTTTTGTCATACAATGAAAAACTCCACTACATTGGACAAAATAATTATCCCCTAGAATTCATTGCACCTGAAGACGAGCATGAGAAAGGCTATACGAACATTAAAGAAAATAAAACATGAAAAACTCCTTTTTAGCAGTTGAAAAGTTGCTGATGTATAACTTCTTTCGGACAAGGTAATGGTGTATTTGAACTGTGAATGCTGATGAAAACTACATGAAAGATAGTGTTTAACCTCTTTCGTTTGATATTAGCTGGATGAAGTACATTTAGTATAACCAAAGGAAAACAGCAAATATATCTCAGTGCGACACATATTTCAACTAAGTTTTAAATTTGTCTACAAGAGCCATATGGAAAGAAATGCACTCTCTTGAAATAAATGAGATTATGAAAACTGAACCAAAAAAGGAACAAAAAGTGTCGAGAAGGTGATAAATACCTGAGATATTCTATTTCCAAGAAGTAAAATGGACGCTGCGTTGGAAGCAGCATTTTCGTGTGCTTCAAGCTGCAGAGCAATCCCAACATCGGAAGAAGCCAAAGATGGTGCATCATTTATGCCATCACCAACCTATGAAAAACCAAAAGGCAGGTGAAATGTAGTAGTTTCGGCCATACAAGATTAAAAGAGCAGGGGTTGGCTGGTTGCTTAGAGGATCCCTATGGCTACTCTTGCATCTGATATTCAAGGGCAAAGTTAGAACTTCGGCACAAATCACCAGGAGATATTTAGTAGTTGTTCACATGAACCATTAAGATAGTATGGAAAATTTCATGGCAATATGTACCTCACTTTAAGAGCTCGAATAAAAATTATTAAAAAGAAGTTAGGAATAAGATAGCAATTTCAGATCAAGATCGTTCAATGGGAAGCACATCCACTTCGCCATGGTGCCACGATGGCCTAAAACCTTGTAATTTGCAAGTGAATCAGTGATGTGTGCAGGTAAACTCTTAAGCAAATAATTCATCAACTTGTAAAATAATACCATAGCAACTCGATGTCCTGCAGCTTTCAGAGTGGAAATAAGTTCAGATTTTTTCTGAGGAGTCAAAGATGAGTGGACAAATTCTTCTTCAATTCCAACTGCCTTGGCTACAGTTGCAACTGCCTCTTCCCTGTCTCCAGATAAGAGGACTGTTTTGATCCCCTTCTTCTGGAGCCTTCCAATCAAAAGCAACAGATTAAGCATGAGGATACAATGTTCAGTACAGCAGACAACCTATAAAGTATTCGAATAAATATAACATCCTGGAAGACTGTAGAGAACCCAAAGAAATTGGCATCAAGATAGTAACATCTTTCAGGCGTTTCTTTTCTCAATAGCACAGAAATAAACTCAAGGTGAATGTTATTCACAATTCGCGTGGATCTCAAACTAAGAGTTGGTTGATAATACAGCTGTAGACTTCTGCTTGTGAAAAGGGAAATTATAATTTATTTAGCATCAGAAAGCCATTTGATGAAAATAAAAATTACCTATGAACAGTAGATCCAGCATCATAGCGCAGGCTATCGGATATTACAATAGCACCAACGATGCCCTCTCCTTCACTTCCAACGTAAACAACTGTTTTTGAATTGTTTGAAGATGATATCCCCCATATTGACTGAAACACAGAATGCTCGAGATTCTTAAGATCAGAGGGACTCGCTTGTTTTTCAAATCGATCATTAACCCATTCTAATGAACCAACTGCAATCAGTCGCCCATTTACATTGGCAAAGGATCCGAAGCCTGGTTCTACCAGCTGCCCTCTTGTGACTGGAATGGTTAAATTCAAAGATTCTGCTTTATCTATTATAGCTTTTGCAATTGGATGTGAAGCAGTTTTCTCTACTGCAGCAGCAACTTGAAGAATTTCTGCTTCTCCATAAACAAAAGAAACCACAGAAGAAACAGTAGGCTTTCCTTCAGTAAGTGTCCCTGTCTGAAGGTGAGAAATTTGGTCAGACTGTGAAGAACATTGCATATATGATCTAGGAAAACTTACATTTCAAGTTTTGAAAAATAATTTATGAGCATTTTGCTGGCAGAAGTTCCACATGGTTGGCCGAGGGAGTTGGAGTGGGCTAGCAATATAATAAAATAATCACCTTGTCAAAAGCAAAACAATCTATGCTTGCCAGGCGTTCCAATACATCTCCCCCTCTTATTAGGAGTCCCCGTCTAGCCCCTGATCAGGTTTTAGAGCGCGACACTATAAGAACTCAGACAACTATTCTTTTTAATAATTTAGGATTTAGTAGTAGAAAGGTGGAATATTATAGAGTAATCTGAATTGGGTGTTCATATCCAAACATGAAATAAATACAAACTCAGACATATGATTCGTATAAGAGCAATCAATTTTGACAGTGTCAACTTAAACACAAGAATGCAATAAATCTACAAAATGTGTCAGTACATCTATCATATGTGAAAAAATCAAAGCAACTATTGAAAATTCTGTGCTCCTTTTAACTTCGTTGGGAAAATACAGTCTCCCTATCCATCTTTCCCTTCTTGGACCTGCTCCCTATGCTTTCTCTCTAATGTTTTTGACATGCCTTACATTTTATTAGCTTCCAGATTTCTCTTATGGTTGGATTCATGTCATCCTTAGTTCGTAAGAAGGCAGATTGAGGATATAATTTTTCTTTTTCTTTTTTGAATAAGGATTAAGGAGATAATATGAGCACTCGTCATTGTTGACACATATAAAATCGATTCAAATTTCATGGAAATGTTCCATCAATTTCATTATTTTTTATGGAAAATAATTGAAACTCACCAAGGGAGGTGCCAACTAGAATTGCTGTGGGAGTGGCTAGTCCAAGTGCACATGGGCAAGAAACTACCTGAAGAAGTATCAATTCACCAACGTTGCAAAACCATGCAACTTTCGTTTTTTTTTCTCAGGGTAATAAAAGTACAGAAAATTTCACCATGCTTAACACAACAATATCACAGATGTGGATTAAAATAAGACTGCAAATATGCGCATTTTAATTCATGAGAAATAGGGTACTATGGCTGTACTGAGATTTTCCATCATGCCTCCATAATCTTTCGACATAAAATTCCCATTCCTAAAACATATGAAAAGATCACTTCAAAAAGAGGAAATAAATTGTTATAATCTCCCCCACAGTTTGCTCTGCCCCCCACCAAACCCAAAAAAAATAAGAAAGAAATCGGATCTCGTCATGATCAGTCATTTTCTTCCTATTTCATGATTACAAAGGAACAATGAGCCTAATGTTTGAATGTAAATTTTGTGTATATGTCTGTATGTGTGTTATTAAGACAAGTTTGGAAATATTTTTGCATGCACGTTCACTGAATCGTGCTTATTATGAGGGAAACCTACCAGGTTCTTCTTAAAATAGCAACAAAAACTGTTTTTTTTTTAAAGATTTTTATGAACATTCTTGTTTAAAATCAGAATAAAGAGGAGTTTTTCTTTTTACAGAAGTACTGGAGGAACCAAACATCAAAAATAATTTTAACTAGATGAAAGTATTTTTGAAGATTCAAAAGCATTCTCAAGTCTCAAACACTATAATTTAATAGGAATTTCACTCATTATATATTTGGTCGATGAGGATCTGATATTGATGCACAACCTGAAAAATAAAATCTTCTTTTTTTAAGAAAAATAAGAAATGAAATTATAACAGTAAAATTGGAAATATGGTACCAACGAGAAAACTGAATATTTTAAGACAGACACATTATTAGACCAAAATAGAAGGTAGAATTTATCAATTAGCCCAGACTAAAGCAGAAGACGTGTATGTAGGAACGAACCAGGAGACAATAGAGGAGGCATTAAAAAATGCAACATGACTATAATCTTGAGTTTCCCCCCTGCTTGAGATTATGTGCACTCATTATTAAGCAATCATGCATTTTTTCTGGAAACAAAATTTGGACTTCAAGAGTCTCCAGCACAAAAGCTCAACCAACTTACCAAGACATCAACTGAAAGTTTCAAGCTTAAAAGAAAGGGGTCTCCATCTGGTCCAGCAATATCATTGATCAAAACATCAGGAAAAATATGGGTACCAAAGCAGTACCTGAAAATGAATAGTTACCATGTAAATAAACAAGCATATTGCAGTTATATCTACACAAATGTATATTATAGTTGAGTTAACTGTATAGATATAATATACATTTCTCAAGGAACTTTCACAACGATAGGAATTATCATCTTGGAATCTTGCTAGACATATATGAGATTCACTAAAAATTCATCCAAAATTTTCAAGGGCCCTTCACTACCCTTTCAGACATTAAACACTAGAGTTTTATCAAATAAAAAAATAATAAGCATAGTGCTTACCAAAATGCAAATGTTGCCGCTGAGAGAGTCAATACAGTGTACACAAATGGCCCAGCTATGGAATCTGCAAGCCTTTGTATAGGTGCTTCATGGCCTTGAGCATCCTCAACCTGATGGTTATACATAAAGCTTCAGTATATGACTTCAGCTGGAAAATATTTGTGCCTCCTTCAGTCAGTAGTTTTAAGTAGTACTTTTTGTCAAATCCAGGCTAATTTTTTATTAAGTTCACCTAGAGCAATATCATTCTGTTTTTAGCAACCACAACACAAGCATAACCAATTGTAATGGTGAACCCTCCAATACCTATAACCAAGCTACGGAAAGTGCTGCTTACAAAAAGTTTGTTCTAAATGTTAAGATATGACTGTGATATGAATGTCACTCTACATTGGAATTAACAAGATCGCCTATAAAGAAAATGCAAATTACCATTATGCATGTCCAACTAATTCGTGCAACAAAATAAATTTAAGAAAATGGATTCACTTACCATTCTAACAATCTTGGAGATTGTTGAGTTCAAGCCAGTCGAAGATGCTACAATTCTCAAAGGGCCATCCTAGAAGATATCAATTTTGATTTATGCCAAAAAATCCTCTTACTTGAAATAAGGTGGAAAATAATACTTGATGTAAATCTCAAGCAAACATGCAGTTTAAGATCCTAAACATCAAGGAAAAATCATACCCAGTTTACAGTTCCAGCTGAGACCATAAGGCCTGCTTCCTTAAATACAGGTAGAGATTCCCCAGTAAGCATTGATTCATCCACAACACTTCTTCCCACAAGAACCTTCCCCTGTTCAGCCAATATCGTTGTCAGCTAGCATTTCCAAATTGTTCCTCCTTATGAAAGACCAGACCAACATCTATTGACAATAGAAATTTTAAAGAAGGTGGAGGAAGATGACATATGTGGTTGAGAAAAATAACCATTGGCACAGCAATTTGGGCTCTGAAATTAAAAAAAAAAAAAAAAAGAAGGCATTGTTGCTAACTATCTCAAGTGCTTACATCCACAGGAATTGTCTCTCCAGGCAAAACTAATATCGAGTCTCCAACCCGAATGTCATCAGTAGACACCTGAAGGCAAATTGCATCGGAGCAAAGCACATCATCCATGGAGGAATTGCCTTCTGATGGAGTTATCACAAGTCGTGAATGAGAAGAGATCAATGACTGCCAAAACATGTATACTTAAAATCAAATAAACAACTTGTGCCAAGCAACTAGGATAAAATGGAATACTAAAGCCACATGCATCAGTACACCCTACCAATTTACATAGTCTATAATTTGAGTTAAGAGGCACACAAATAATTACATGACTCCATCCAAACTCTTAAATATAAATTCAACTCAAGGGACCAACATATTTCTTGAATAAAATAAATTTAATCTTCAACTTTGTATTTGTGATATTTGAAGTTTTGAAGTTTGAACAACAAAAATTCTTCAGAAATTGTGAGGTTTTAGTCATTAAAATCTTGAATGCTTTAAAACTTCACACTGCCTTTTATCTTTGACGCTTTCTAAACAATGTCTTGAATGTTGAATGGATTCATCTGGAGGCCTTAGATAGGCATACGCTAATTTAATTTGGATCCTACTTCACACACACTAATATATTGCATCAAAAAGGCGATATACGCTAATTTAATTTGGATCCTACTTCACACATGCCATCTTTTAGTTTCCCAATGTCATGTCATCTAATTTAATGGATAGACACTTGCGAAATTTTGGTACGTCCCAATTAATGAGATGTAATTTTGTCATTGCTATACGTAAAATTATAACTGGTTGAAATATTCTTCTACAACAAGAATAGAATTTCCCAGGGACTCGGAAGCACGTGGTATGGCATTTGACCAAGGTATAGACCCAATATATATATGCATTGTAATGTTTATTCGTTTTAGAGTCATTGAAACTTACTAAAAGTTCATTCATATCACTAGAAGCCTTAACCCTTGCTCTTTCCTCCAGAGAACGCCCAAGAAGCACAAAACCAAGAAGCATGACCTGCATGCTAAAAAAAGGAGTTCCACTGAGAAAAGCAAAGCATATTCAAGAGCCAAATTCCATCTCATACCAGAAAATTTAATAAACTAAACCAAATGGGAAATACAGAAGTAAATATTATCAATTGAATCAAGATGATGTAGCTGAAGGTCGAGCAAGTCACCGGTTCATCAAAAAATGAGGCATCCCAGTCCAGCTGAGGATTAAGAAGTGAGATCTACGGGAGACAAAAGTTAAAAATTCGAAAGTTAATATTCAACTACCATGATGAATTTTTGTTTTTTCAATATTCTTAATAAATAAATAAACAAATAATAGCCTTGAAAAACTTGAGATATCCTTTGACAAAGCGCCTCACCGCACTGATAATAAATGCAGCAACTGCTCCAAAACCCACAAGAGAGTTCATATTCGGTGATCCCTTCTTGAATGCCCTCAGACCATCAAAAAGTAATTCTGCAGCAAATAAATTATCACTTCAAACATCATAAAAAATCCTGATAACAAGTTTGGGGTGGTCGTCTCGAATACTACTTACTGTCCCAAAGGACAGGAATACAACTAACTACTTGATACAGGCCATTAAAATGCATACCAGTGACTTAGTGGTCAAACACGAATCTCCCTCTCCTACGGCTAAATGGCACAAGAAAGGGAGGAAATATAACAATTAAATCTAATGCTAGTTTAATATTGGCGTTATATTCAGCAATCCCATGATGATAATACGATTCCATTTTAGAAAGTAGCAATAAAAACAGTTAAAATAGAGAGGACAAACAGACCTCGTCCTGGTCCTAAAAGAGCAACCAAAGCGAAGCAACCCTTCACATACGAGTTATGAAGTATCTCCATCAATGGTCCTGAAACGACGACGGAAGTCAACTCAAATTCAATTTGACCATTAGTACCGGCTGCATTTACGATATACTCTGAAAATGATTAAGAATTAGCAGGAACATTTCGTATTTGCTTTACACCGCTATTAGACGGTCTGGAAATTTACAACTCAATTTAAAGAATTCTAAACTTGAGAAAGTTCCGATTGCCTTTGCCTATAGGTTATTTGTAATTCAGAATTGAGCAATCCACGTGGCATACAAAATTAGGTTGAAGAATTGAAGTAAAACGTCAGTTCGTTACAGAGATTGCAAAATACCGTGGATATGAATCCCAAGAGAGTGCAAGATATGCGATGCGTGTGAGCCACAGCACAAGGCAACCAAAGTCCAAGCAACAGCCACCCGATTCCGACTCTTGACCATCATATTCCTTTTCTTCTCAACCGTATCCTTCCATTTTCTCACACTCTCCGCCACTCCGACCTCCGAATTCCTCGATTTCGTCGGAAAACCACAGTCCGTGAGTCTCTGCGCCAGACTCTCCGCCACATTCAC